CTTTAAATTTTTATATTATTTTCTAGTACTTTTGCATAGTGTTCGTATGGTCGCTTTCTTGTGAAGATTGGCAGTGTAGAGAACCACACCATTTACGGTATTTTTAGCTAAACAGGCACACTTGTTTCATTTTTAGTAACATGCTGCTTCTTCCCACTTTAAAAAAAGAGAAATAATCACAAACTTACAAAACAGTTGCAAGTACAGTACCAAGGACATTTTTCCCCCCTCAAGCATCTGAGAGGAAGTTGCTGACCTGATGCTTGTTACCCCATAATGCTTTGGTGTACACTTTCTACAAACAAGGATATTCTCCTACGAGATCACAATGTGATTATCAGAATCAAGAAATTAGCACTGGCACATGCTCCATCTAATTCTCAGACTCATACAAGCGTTTGCCGATTTCGCCATTAATCTCTATTGGAGGTCCAGTGCAGAATTTTAGGTGGCCTTTTGTTATGTCTCTCTCGTCTTCTCCAATCTGGAACATTTTCTCCATCTTCTCTTGATTTTTATTATGTTAACACTTGAAGATGACAGATGAGTTAATCTATAGAGTACCCCTCAGTTTGGGATCATCTATTCCCTCATGATTAGATCCAGGGTATGCATTTGGGCAGGAATGCCACAGAAGTGATGCTCTGTCCTAATTGCTTCTTTTCAGATAGTGTGTGATTTCAGTTTGGCCCATTAACATTGAATACTTGTGGTGCTGTGGTTATGCATTGAGCTACTAGCCTCAAAGTCAGCAGTTCAAAATTACTAGCTACTGCTTGAGAGAAAGAGGGGTCTTTCTACTCCTGGACAGAGTTATAGTCTCGGAAACACAGTTATACCCTGCTCTATAGGGTCTCTAAATTAGAATTGACTTGGCAGCAGGGAATTTGTTTTTGTTTTTTTGCTTTTATAAGTCAAAAGAACTCTGGTGGCATAGTGGGCTATGTATGGAGCTGCTGACTGCAAGGTCAACAGTTCGAACCCACAGCCACTACCCAGGATAAAGATGAGGCTGGCTGTTCGCATAAAGTCTTGGAAAACCACAGGGGCAGTTCTGTTCTGTTGTATGGGGTTGCTGTGAGTTGGAATCCACTTGATGACCGTGTGGTTTAATTAAAAAAAAAAGAGTTGAAATGGACTCCATGGAAGCTAATTAATAATAACTAGTTATTTTTGGAGGAGTACATTGAAACTACATAAATATCTTATTCCTCATCATACTTTGAGTGAATGTATTTACTCGTTTACAGCTATATGGATCCCTGACTTTCTGTTTTTCCAGTGGATGATTTTCTGTTGCTGTGTATTTCATTTGATCACCAAGAGTCCACTCAGCTGGTTTCTGTGTCTTTCTGGCATGTCTCCATCCACCTTTGAGCATGTCTTTACTTTTTGGCATACAATAATGTTCTCAGCTTGTTTGGTACTTTCCTTGTTTTGGGCCTGGAACCCACCGTTTCTCTAGGGAGCCCTGGTTTCTATGGTGGCATAGCGAGCTACATGGTGGGCTGTGAAATGCAAGGTGTTAGAAGCTACATGGTGGGCTTTGAAATGCAAGGTGTTAGGAGAAAGATGAGGCTTTCTACTCCCATAAAGAGTTGCAGTTGTAGAAACCTACAGGGGCAGTTCTGCTCTGTCTGATAGGGTCAATGTGAGTCAGAATAGGGAGCCCTGGGGGCATAGTGATTTTACATTGGACTGCTAATCGTAAATCAGCAGTTTGAAACCACCAGCCACTCCAAGGGAGAAAGATGGGACTTTCTACTCTAGTAAAGAGTTACAGTCATAGACACTTACAGGGGCAGTTTTACCCTGTCTTACAGGGTCACTTTGAGTCGGAATCAACTTCATGGCAGTGAGTGAGTGAGCGAGTGAGTGAGCGAGTGAGTGAGTGAGTAGTCAGAATCGACTGGATGGCAGGCATTTTTTTTAATTCATATTGAGAAGTTCAAGTGTCCACTGCTGTTGGACAGCAGCACTGTTAGTGTCACTAAGCCTTCTTAATGTCTAGCACTGCAGTATACATGTATACACACACACATGCACATTTACGTCTACATATATATTTATTTTTTAATATGCATATATAGATTAAGGAGCCCTGTGGTGGGGTGGTCATTACAGTTGGGCTGCTAGCTTCAAGGTCAGCATTTTGAACCCATCAGACACTCCTTGAGAGAAAGGTTAGGCTTTTTACTGCCGTAACGAGTTGCGATTTTGAAAACTCACAGGGGCAGTTCCATCCTGCCCTGTAGGGTCACTGTGGGTCGGCATTGACTCAGTGGCAGTGATTTGGTTGGGGTTTTGGTGGGTGACATGGTGGCAAGCACTCGGCTGCTAACTTAAAGGAAGACACTGAACTGTCCAGCTGCTCTGCGGGAGAAAGATAGGGCAGCTTGTGTGTGTGAAAATGACAGTCGTGGAAACACGACGGGACAGGTCTTTTGTCCTGTGGTGTCACCAGCAATTGGAATTGACTTGATGGCAAAGAGTAATGGGTTTTGGCATATATTTAACTCACGCACTGCTATCGAGTCCATTCTGAATAATAGTGACCTTAAAGGACAGATTAGAACTGGCCCTGTGGATCTGAGGCTTTAAAACTTTACGGGATCATAAAGCTTCATCTTTCTCCCCTGGAATGGCTACTGGGTTTGAACTGCTGACCTTGTGGTTTGTAGTCTGGTGCATGACCCATTGTGCCACTCGGGCTGCTGGCATGTATGTACATGCTAAAAAGCTTGAGTTTATACCCGGTACTTCCGTTTTCAACCCGATACTCCAGTGTCTTTTCTTATTTATAATATTCCATGGTAAAAAAAAAATCCCATGGTGCAATTGGTTGCTGCTGAAGATTGGTGGTTTTTCCAGAGGCACCCCTGTTGTTCCCCCCACCCACACACTATAATATAGCAAACCGGATCAAGCAGTTCGCCTGGGACTGCCATGGGTCAGGACTGATCAGGACTTTCTTCCACTCAGAGTGTGAACTCTGGCTCCCATTATCCTGAATGGAATCTTTTCTCTCTCTGCTCCCCTCCCCCAGATTCCTCTTCTGCTTGCTGTAGAGCAGATTCCTCACTGGACTCCACCCTCAACACCCCACCCTGTGAAAATATAGGATGTAATAGTCCACCGTAGCATGGCCCACCCTGCTCTGACTCCCAAGATGGGCCTCCCCACTGTCTGCGGGCACACATCTCACCCCCCTCAGCACTGACTTTCCACACAGGGAAGAGAAAGATGTCCTTACTCACACACCCCATGCCAGCTTGCCCCTTTGCTTG